ACATTTAACCATCAAAATGTTAATAAAAATTTTATTTTAATTTTTATTTTATTTAAAATAATTAAAAATTTTCTAATTAGTATATGATCTAAAAAGAGTTTAATAATTTATTATATATGTATTATGTATTATTTTATGCGATATTTCCTGAATGTGATTAATTATATGTAATGATAGCATTAAAGTTATATACATTTGTATATAATTGTAGTATAATTAATTGTTTTGTTCAACTACAGTCTTAATTAAAAGTATATTCATTTTTTTTTGCACGATACTCAGTCAGTCACGCCCAATTAGGGAAACTCTTCGTACAGCTGCATGGTCCGCAGCATTCAATAATCAGCATCAAATAATATTAAGAATGCAATGGCAAAGCAATGGCCATCCAGAAAACTGACTTCGAATGATCTTAATGATTGGACGATTTCCTAAGGCGAAGACGTTCAATGGTTACAACAATGTTTTGAAGTTATCTCCACGTGATTTATGAATTTATAGTCACTCGATTTTCCAGAATACAAAGTGCTCTCTTTTTAAACTTTATTCTGGTTTGGAAATTATTAGTAAAAAATAATGTTTCCTAAATTAATATCGAATTAAAAATAGATCAGATTTTACTTTGTGTAGCAGCTTAGTTAATCGATTTATAATGAGATTATAAAAATTATAAATGAGGATTATTATACCATCAATTAAGCGACTTTAAGCGATTAACTTACTAGAAGAGATAAACAATCTGAACAAATGCAAATATAAATAAAATCTATTCTATAAACTCTTTCGTGTAAATATCAATTTTATTTATAAGAATCAACAGGCTTCTCAAAAACTGCTCACAATGCATGCATATACATTGCGATACGAATAGCGTCCCGATTTCTATCTATATATGCTAAATTCATATACATATGTATATATATGAATCATCTACACATGTATATATATGAATCATATATAAAATCATATCATTTCACGAGTAACAACATATTTCATATGATTACCAAAGTCGGATTGAGTTAACATTTGTGAAAAACGCTCATATCGTTAGACCATAAGGCAATTATAATAAGATCCTGTGAGAGAGGGAGAGAGAGAGAGAGAGAGAGAGAAGAATATACAATCTCTCTTTCTAGTCTATTCTGATTATGTTCATGCACACTGTTCATAACAAAAAATATGAATGGAAGTTGTTAGGATTTGATGAATTTAGTTTTACGGCCAGATTCTGATTGTAAAGTTTCTAATATCGATTATAGATTCACACATTATGAAATGGAACAATAAACGGAAAGTGAAAACTTTTGAATCTATAATCATTAAACATTTTTCAACCCGTATTTCAGGTTTCGGCATTGATAATATTTTATGGTTGATAGATATATTTTTTACTCTGTAGGAGATCATTCTTTTCTCTTTTTCGCTACACTTAAAAGGATTTTAAAATGAATATCAAGTCACGTATGTTCGGACATGACAACTGTAGATACGTATATTATAGGTATTGTATTTCGCATAAAGAGAGATGAAAGAAAATAGTTTTATAAAGTTTTGGAAAAAATACAAAGAATAATGTTATCTATTCTTAAATTTATTACTAGAAAGAACTGCTACTGTGGAAAAAGACCTTTTTTGGATCTTTTCCGAAACTATTATCCTGGTTCCCTGCAGCTCTATTTTAAGATAGAAGACTATATTATTGAAATATTACAATTCGATAATTATCAAAAAAAATGTGAAATAAAATTGTATATAAAAATACCAGTTGTGATACTGATCTCGTTTCAAGATGCGACATTTGATGACTTTGCATCTTCAGGATCAAATTCTATAGGGAGTTATAAAATGCTATGAGACGACGCGGTTTCACATTGGGAATCTATCGGACAGAGATATATATGAGGACATCTTGGGTGGGATTATATAGGAGGGAAATCGTTTTACATAATACATAGTGTCCCACAATGAGAAAAGTTCTGCGAGAAGGATACAAGAACTCCGACAAAGAAATAACAATTACTTTATTTTGACTTGCGGCTAACATCTCGCCGACTTTTGCCGAACAGTCTTTCTTTATCCATAGCTTCTGTATTCACATCGGGCGTGAAAGCGTGTAATAAAAAAAGGTACCCCGGTGTGTTCATTTCAATTTGGAGAGTAGGTATCTTTTAACCCAATTGGTTTATTTAGCTTTTTGCGATACACCGACTTGTGTATGTGACATAGTAAAAGCGGTATGGTATAGTAAGATGGTCTCAATTTGAAAAGTCAGTTTTTCCGGAAAATCTGCGAGTGACAGGTATACGCGCGTTTTTAAACAATTCAATTCGAATCAAATTTATAATGCGGAGTTGGAACAGTATTATATAAAAACGGTAATAAATAGTAAATTAAAAATTCTTGTTGATCTCATATAATGATAAGAGTTATTACCAAGATAAGGCTTTACTTTTCGTTTATAATGTAGGAAATAGATATAGAAAAATGTTATAGTGTCGAACACAAAACAACAGGTTTGTTCATGTTGCTTGAAATCCCCAAAAATTGCACTCAAAATCAGATAAATAGATATTTGGATATTGAAAAGAGAAAAAGGATGCTGAGTGTAAAAAGTGCAAGCAACGTGAACAGACCTGTGTAAGAAGAAAAAGAGAGCAACGATTTGCCTGCTTGGCATGCGTGTGTCATATATATACAAGATGTTTCGCAGATAGTTTCGAAGAAATTGTTCAAAGCTTGAAAAATTTCAAATGCCCTGCGGTATCACAAAGTGGTATCTAACATTCATAGAAAACCGAAAGAAACGCAATGATTACTTGTTCATGCAACGTAATACAATGCGATATTAACGTGAAGATTCCAATTCGTTTCACATGGAAATTCATGAACTAGCCTAACCGATTTTCACGGCGCGGCGCCGCAAACGAAATCCGTATTTTTCAAAGAAAAAGTACTCTAGGAAAAGCTCTCCGAAGCGGAGGACGTTGAAGGATAGCCCTCGTACGCCATCGACGCCCTGCTTTGCACTTGAATAACCCAATTTCAGGATGGCGCAACCTCTTCGGGGCATCCGCCAAGATACGGGCATCCGCAAACAATCCATTCGACGAAGATTTACGAGCTAAATTTTATCGCGCGCGCGCTTCACATTCTTCGCCGGTTACATACGTGTCCGCCGTGAAACTTCCTCTTAATGCGGTCATACTTCCTGTTACTTTGTTCCGAAGATTTGTAAAAGAAAGATCGTGGCTGAAAGTGGGCTCTCTTTAATGCGGGGCGTTTAAGTTCTTGAAAGGCGTGGCATTCGTCACGGGCAGATATCCTTCAGACGCGACCGTAATACAGCACATAAAAATACTGTGTCTTTCTTCATGAATTTCGATATTTTTTATGAATATCGTGCGTGTACTTTAGCCAGAAATTATTTCAATTTAAGAATAATAACAATATGTAAGATAATTGATACTCTTCTGGAGATTAATATCTAGGATGTGTTTACCATAATTCATGTTTTATTGTTTAATTATACGGACGATCAAGCTCAGCCGAGACCACGGCAGGAGGGCAACGAATTTGTGAAATGAATTTCACGGCATACAGCAACGAAATTTTTCGTCAAGAGAGGACGCGACGCCAGGATCAGGCTGTGTGAAAAATCAGCTAGTATTGGGATTAGGAAAGAATAGTGGGTTCACCCTACTTTGCACCTGAATGACCCAATTTTGGTGCTATTGCGACGCATCTTACGGTGCGCGTTCGCGAGAAAGTGATCCCATCTACGGTTTCATAGTGCCACGCTTCTTTGCAAATGAATAGGAAAGTGCAACCCGCGACACTCTCAAGAATCCTGTGATTTGCTCCGGACGGGACAATCTCGTTGACTTTTTTTTCACGTTTCTTCATTGTGAATCAGCCATGCGAGCGTGCGCGGCTTACAGCTCTCATCACAATGCAATTATGCGGGTCGTTCGGCTGCGCAAGATTCTAGCAAGATTTCGAAGGATGCGCTCGGTTTCGAGATTCCTGCGTAAACGAACCGTTTACAAGCTCGTCTTTTCAGCACCCGACTCCGACCTAGGATTTCAACGCCACTCAAGTTTTCACGTCGTGCGTCGCTAGAATACTAAATCAGCAGGTCGTCGTGTAATGCTTTAATTTTTCAACACTTTCGCGAATATTTGTGTAACGTGACATATCATGCAAGATATGTAAAAGTTTCATTTGTCAACGAATGAAAATATGTATTGTAATTTATATGAGAAAGATGGCTATGCAAAAAATTTTTTTAACAAAATGTCTGAAAAATATTGTGCAATTTGTTGAACGCAGCATTACGTTATGTTGCTTGCAAAAAGCGAACAAATAGATAAGAGCTTATACTATTAAACGCGGCGGGAGTCTTTATTGTGTCGCGAAAAGAAGCGTGTAAGCATGACATCGAAGTGGACACAAAGTCCGTTTTCAGGATAAACGTCGCAGTGATACAAATGCCGTTTCATTTTTTAGTAGCCACATGAGCCGGCTGCATCATTTTTCAAAGAAGGGATTATTCGCGCTAGAGAGTGACCGTACGCTGTTGGAGATCACTGATGGAAAAAAAAGGGGAAACAATGCTACCTCTTTTTTACTTTAGTAATATAAATCTTATAAATCTACAATTAAGTCTCATTTTGTTATGACGCATTCTGGAATTAAATTTATATTCTGTAATATAACTGTACATGCAAATGATTCTCGAAATACTTTTCAGACATTATAAATACGTAGCATATTTTGTAATGAAAATGATATATGAAATTTTTATATCATCAAATAAGTTACTCGAAAACTAAAAAAATCACTAAATTAAGAACTAAAAATTAAAAATTGAATTCTTCATTTCAAAAATTAAAAATTCTATTCTTCATTTTATAATAACTACTTGAAGGTTTATCTTTTACAAAAACAACGTTGTCTTACTTCACATCTAGTCTTTTTTTATCGCATATATGTGTGTGTGTATATATTTCGTAATTTTAAATTCCAAAATAATGTAAACGTCAATAAGTATTCCAGAATGAGAACAGGATATGTAAATTTGAATACATTCTGTAGCTCAAGAATATGTCCGAATGCAATATGGCTTACGATTATTATTAATATTAAAATATAGAAAATATAACATAATTTCTTGTCTAAATGGTATGTAACCTATTTTTCTCTTTTATATGTGTATGTTAAATTATACTTCAATTCCTAAATATTCGTTTTTTGTACTTAATAATTTTAACTTTTAAAAATAACTTTTAACAAAAATGTTTAATCACTAGAAAAATACAGTTATGTATTATATTGGGAGGATACGTCTGACAAAGTATATTCTTTCGAAATATAATATTTTGCCTTTTCAGGAACCTCCATGCAGGATTTGCACTCACCTTACTCCGCCGGCTGCTTTCAATCCACGCACTTTGGAAAGCCGTTATAAATCGCCTGTCACGAGACGAAAAGAGTACTGCGAACCAAGGAGATGTAATGCGAAAGTCGGTACGGATTTGAAATACGAATTTAAATCACGTTCCTACAATGTCGATCATGCTGTAAACAAAATTCAAGAACTAAAGAGAAATGTTCAAGATCTTGATGGATCAAAGCATCATGATGAAACGGTAATTTATTAACAACAAACATTAAACAAATATGATAAATGAAAATAGATGGATTGGATTATATACAATAGTATACGGTAACTTCTTTCAAATTTGAAATACGTTTCAACAGGAAAGTTTATTAGAACCGTCCTCAGAGAGCAAGATTAATGATCTAAAAGATGTACATAATACAATAATGACTTGCCTAAAGGAAATGGAAAAGCTAAAGACATTTTTGGAGGACGAGAATTCCTGGTGGAAAATTTTAAAAAATCGTTCGATCGATTGTTGTCAACAAAAGTTGCCACATCTTCATGGGGTTTTAGACGGATCATCAGTTACTTTAATGTTGCTTGAAGAAGGTACAGATGAGGTACTCTCTCTTAATTTCTTGTTTTACAAAAATGGATAAAGTGTACTACTACTCATAAATCAGTAATATATATATATATATATATATTATATATGAAGAACTTTTTAAGGGTCCTCTACATAGAAGTCATAGACGATCGTGGAGTCTTAAGTCGTAGGAAACCAACCAATCACAATCAAATATAAAGAGAATACTCAATTAGAATTGCTCAGTTTTCTATGATTTATAACTAAATGACCGTCTACGACTTCTATGTAGAGATTTACCCTTTACAGTGATTATAAAAGAAAGCATAAATGTGCAAACAATTTATCTTTCGGTAGGTTCCACGTCGTTTTGTGACATCAACGCCGAAAGAAAAAAGTAAGACTACTGGCCCCAGATTTGGAACTTCTCCGAGAGAATGGACGAATAAGGCAAAACAAACTGAGCAGTATACGAATCACCGAATGAAGCACATGGACGAGTATGCGGACTCTTACACAACTCCACATTATAGTCTCGATACGAAATCAGCATTAATTGAAGTTACAAGGTAAATCTTCTGATCCATATTCACACTTCGCTCTTATCGATAAATGCATGCATATATTATAGAATTTCAGAAATAAGTGCACGTATATCGATAAAAATGGGATACGGACCTATGTCTTTAAAATTAATATAGATCTTTTAAATTACATCTTGATATTAAATAATTAAATTAGTATATTTTAAATAATTACTCTTGCCATATACAATCAAAATTATTTGTGCTTATAGAATCCATAAATTTTAATATGTACAAGTATAAAACGATTTTGAAAAAATATTTAAAAGAATATAATTTTTTTTTAAGTACCGATAGTCGTGATCCGATTCAACGACATATTAAAAGAGCTGTTATGAGTGAACAGAATATTGTTGCTTCCGAATTTTGGACTGAAGCACAAGAAGATGGAAGCGATAAACAGAAAACACCAGAGACATCACATAGATTCAAAGAAACATGTGATAATATACAGTATGAAGATAAAGAGAAGAGGATCGGTAGATCAAATAGTAAAACGCAGACAGAATTATTATAGAGTAAAACCCTATAAACTGTTATGAATAAGTTATTAAATTAACTATTAAATTAGTATATCTTAAATAATTACTCTTGCCATATACAATCAAAATTATTTGTGCTTATAGAATCCATTAAATTTTAATATACAGAGTGTTTCCAAATTAAATGGCAAAACTTCGGGAGCGTGTAGAGGAGTAAAAAACTAAGAAAAAAAGTCCTATAGACATATGCTCCTTTTTGCTTTGTTTCGCAGGAAATCACGAAAAAAGAAAAAAATATATTTAATTTATTATTTTAATTATTTTATTTATAAACTTTTTAATGAAGATTTTGTTCGAAATGTGCACCTCTTGCAGCAATACAAGCATTGCATCTGTCAAACACGGCTCTTGTAGCAGCCAGGCCTTTAAAGCATTACCGTTGCAGAAACCGTATACAAAAACCATATCAGCATATTCACTATTAGAATACGTACGCGGCATATTGCAAAAGACAAAATTCATCTACTATTAAAGGCTTTCAAAGAGCGACTGACAAATTCATAACAGAAAGTGGAAAATGTAATCAAATATGTCGGTGCTAGATATGGCAAGAAATATAAACATTTTTTTTCGATTTCTCTGAAACGGAGCAAAAACGAGCATATGTCTATAGGACTTTTTTTCTTAGTTTTTTACTCCTCTACACGCTCCCGAAGTTTTGCGATTTAATTTGGAAACACCCTGTATACAAGTATAAAAAGATTTTGAAAAAATATTTAAAAGAATATAATTACGCTTTATAGGTGTATTATTTGCGCGACGTCTTCTGCGCCTGACTCCTATTGCCCTTATAATTCTTTCCAATTTCTCTTAACTATTTAACTATTAACTATTAACCATTATTAACTATTAACTATTAATTTATTATTAACTATTAATTATCTCATTAACTATTAACTACTCTATTAACTATTATTAACTATTAATTATTAATTGTTAACTATTAACTATTACCTATTAACTATTAACCCTATAAACTATTATTATAGAAGGTTTTATTTTAGGTTTTACTTTAGGTGTACAATAATCCATTATTTTTTTACGAAATTCAACATTTACTGTCGAAACATAATTCAATTATGATGGGAGTCGGTAATCTCTATTATCTTTTAACTTCTTCCATTACTTTTTTTATATTTTAGGCAAGCTACAGATGCCAATTTTATAAAAAAACAGATTTTTACTTGATGAATTCATTAAGCAATTTTCTCATTTCTTTAAGATTTCTTTTCAAACATTGTTTAATTTAAAAAGCGCGCGACCGAAACTAATGCTAATCTATGTATATACAGGGTGATTCGAAATTTCTGCATTCGGAGTACAGGACATGATACTTTATGTTAAAACAAACAACTTTTTCCTCTAGCAAAATTGCGTCCAACAAGTAATTTTTGCAGGTTGAAGTTAACAAATAAGCGCAAAATTTTATTTATCGAGCGCAATTTTGTTAAAGAAAAAGTTGTTCGTTTTAACATAAAGTATCATGTCCTGTACTCCGAATGCGGGAATTTCGGATCACTGTATGTCAAATACGGTCAAATATTTCAGATTATAATAATGTATCTTTGGATAGTTTCACCACACTGATTGTGAGTACCATAAGGTCAAGGCCAAGCTTTTTGTGGCAAAGTTCAAAGATACCGTATTAGAGGCTCCGCACAATCAAAAGAATAAGAATGAGAGAACAGACAATAAGAATTTCAGTCACAGAAAATTTCAAACTTTCTCAGAAGCTATATATTTCACGGTACATAGTTTTTAATTAGTTAAAATTTTTATTTTTTATTTCTTTTATTCCTTTAAGGTATTTCTTCGACTACAATCACGCTAGAAAGTTAATCGCATACAACCTATGAATGAATTTCTTTGCGCCGTGCTCTCTGAAGAAAGAAACTTTTGAGGCGAACATACACACACACACACACATATAAATATGTTGTATTTGTGTGCACGAACACACTAGTCTGCACTGAAGATAGTTGAAATGTGGCAACAGCATGTCCTTGTCTCGCCACTCTGCGTGCGAGAAGGAGAATTTCATCAAATTACAAATTTAAACTACTCTAATTCAGAAACGCGGTACCGCTAGGCCTCCCTATTTTTTTAACAAGATTCCTATAATATATATTTCTACATTATATATTTATTTTTTTTTTAAATCTGTAGATTTTTGCCGCAAAGTATTAAAACGTTACTTCAGCAAGACTTGGTATAGTAATTTACGTTTTAAAAGCTGAAACTTTGAAGGTGAATATCTCCATTTCGGCACCGCTAGGGGCTTTGAAATTTTAACCATATATAGATAAAATTATTTTAAAAAATAATATCCAAATTTCAAAAAAATCTGTAGAAACACTAAATTTCTCGGTGTGCCCAGTCCCTTACAACCTGACTGAGCCTTACAACCGTCGGTAACCATGTGTACAAAATACAATTCCCTTCGAAATTTACCGTATTCGACATACACACATAGCACCTTTAAATTATCATTTATTCCGATTGATTTAGCATGTTTTGTCTAAATTGAACAATATTTGGAATTTAGAAATGTCGATAAAATAAGAAAATATCTTAATGAATTCATCAATTAAAAAAAAAACAGTCTTTCTATCAGGTTGACTTCTATACTTATATATAGTTATTGTTAGATATATAATATATGTATACTATGTTATATATGTTATATATTACTTTAATTTATATTTATATTTATATATATTAACACATAAGTTATATTTATACACATATATTAAATACTAAGTCGATAAAAGAATAGAATTATTAAAAAATTGCTAGTAATATTATTCTAGATAAAATTACGTTTTTAACATATGACTTTTAGTTGTGCCACCGAGAGAAATACGATATGAGGACACGCAGATGACATTCGAAGATGCAGTGCAACCTCGGAGGACATTTAGTAGCGAAAATACCGAAAGCAAGAAACATATCACTAGCGATTTTGAATCAAACGTGGATTTAAACACGGTATATAAAACTTATTTCTAAATCTTATTTTTTAATATATATTAATTCTATTAATTATTCTGTAGAAGATTCCGTCCAGAAATGTGTCAAGTCATAAATCGAGAACGAAGGCGATTATTGAAAAAAGTTTTCGCTATATTCCGACAAAACTTCCGAGAAAAATTTCAAAAATTAAAAGTAGAAATTAATGTTCATTATGTATATTCAACGATATAAGTAAATCTTATATACTGATTTTGTATTAATAGATTTATTTTAAAAGTAAAATTTTTATAAACTAATTTTAAGAAAGTTTTGAAATGGTTGCATTCACAGCAGACTCAATTGTTGCGGAGCGTAAAGCTCTAAAAATATCAAAGTAGCGCAATCCTTTTATCTGAGCCGAAATACCGACTGCTTTCCTATTGGCTATTTCGACCGCTATTTTCGACCTAGTAGCCTGTAGTTCAATAAGTGGTTAATATTATTAGTACATGATATGGTTAGTAGGTTGAAAATGGAGAATCTTTGCAGTACTTTGGTATATCTAGAGCTTTAGCGGAGCAGATTCGCGAACGCTCACTGCTATTAGATGATCTCGAAGAATACACCAATAGCAACGAACGCTTACAGATCCACTCAGCAATAGTTTACTGAGTCTGCTGAACGCAATCAATGCAAAATGTGATTACGTCATGGTGGTACTTCCACCATGTTTAAGTTTGCATTTTGTAATATATCGATTATACTTATCGAGTTTCACAACATTCAACTTTCAAATTTTAGTTTGCTGACTTCTTGTCTATGTTTACAGAGTGACTTTACCATAATCAAAATATTTCATAATTTCGACCGTATATCACAGAATTGTTAAGTTCTGCAGGAATCTAGGGAAAAGGTTCCGAAATGTATGCACGCGATCTTCGAATAGTGGTAACCAGGTTGGATCAGATTATCGTTCATCTTTACAATTATTTATTATAAATTTTATAAATTTAAGCTGTTAATAAATGCAAAAAAAAGAGAGAGAGAGAAATAAATTTGCACTCTAAATTTACGCGCGAATTTAGGCACATGAAATGAAGAAAGTCCTTATAATAGCGAGGAGTCCAGCTTTTACTATTGATGATGCATTAAAAATGGGCTCAACGACCACCGTGATTCTTCGTGAACGTGCAATAATGAGATCTGCAATTTCTACTCCAACTATATCGCGTAGAAGTATGAGTTAGATATGAAATTAATCTTTACAAACAATTTCTCGATTGTACGTAAATTCAATAGCACGTAAAGATAATATTTATGAAACGTTTCTGATTGATTGATGATAGATCGAAATGATCGAAAGTTCCAAAAAGCAATGTGTCGATGAAGAAAAAGATTCAAACGATTGAAAGAAGTTTAATCGAAACTTACAAGTCAATGCAAGACTAACAATAGAATTTGGAAAAATATCTTAAAATTCAGAATGGAAGAGAAAGATAAAGATCTGACATCTTTTGATGGGTCTGCTTATATCTTGACCTTTGAATCATTTGAAGTGTCTCTGAAGAGAAAAGAAGATATATCAGTAGTTGACAAGCGACGATTAAAATTCTGCAAGTCTACAAAGAAAATTAAGTCATCTTCCTTTAAAGGCGAATGTTCCAAATCATGTACGAAGTATAGAAAAACCAGCTCAAATGGGTACATATGACGTTTGTTTAATAATTTGTTTTATTAAGAATTTCAATCTTTGTTTAATTAATGTTTCTTTCGAAAATTTTATAATTTTGACAAATAAAGAAATCAGTTAAGTTAAAGTTTAGATTAATCAACTTTTTAATCAATTATATAAATAATGTTAATTGAATATACCTATGACATTTGATCAATATTTATTTAATGCGTAATTATTAATTAAATATGCGACTATATAATACATATATATAATAATTTCAAATGTTATAGTATTGAGGAATATCGTGGATATTGTCAAAGACTTGTACATGTATATATCCAGAGCATTTAATGAACAGTTTTCAACATAGAAGCTACATCTTCGCACATTCTGCTCCAAGGCGGTCCGGCCATACTAATGTCAATTACACATTTTGCATATATTTCAGACCTCAAACGTCAGACAAACCGCAAACGTTGCGTGAATCATCTTATCATCAAAAGAAGTCCGAGACAAAGCCCACGGGGGAAATGCCACTGTTCGCACAACTAAAAACGAAAATGAAAGAAACGTCGAGGAAGTTGCAGGTCTTTTTTTCTCTTCTTCGTCTCTCGTCGGAATATTTTTGCACAATTCGAAGCCTCAATAGCCAACTTCCAACAGAGCACCTTGCCATTTTTTAAAAAGACGAGACGTACCATGGCGAAAGTGAGGTCCTTGTATATCGGCTCCAAGGCAAAACGAGCATTGGGATTCAAGTGCAACCTGAAAAAATGCAACAGTACTTTAATGGAATGCAGCGCGGGAGCTTGCAGAAAAAAGAGCATGATTTTTGGTGAACCTAATCAACCATGCAGTTCGAAAATGGCCGATTCTAGCATCAGTGACACTTCGACAGTATCGAGTACAAGTGAAGATAGATTTTAAACCTATCATAAACTTAGTGTGATCGATTACGTGTTATTGTTACTTGCTGTCTATTTAAGACTCGTCCCCATTGGATCGTGCCAATTGGCATATTGACTTTTTCTTCTTTATAAAGGAAAGAAAAGGAGTCGGCTTCAGTGGAGACGGATCTTTAGATTTTATCTCTCATAAATTTGACTTTTTAAAAGTTTCGAAACATCAATCGATTTTTTACGAAAAGAAAAAACGAAAAAGGAAAAAGTCAGATAAATATAAAATTCAAAATTGTCAGATGCGTTGTCCAGTTTACGAGGGCGTTAAGTAGCGATATATCACTGCCTAGGCGTACAGCAGGCAAATCGATTTTTATCGCTTTATAGCGCTTATAAGCCGCCCTCCATTCCAAGCTGTACGTGTAATCTGGAATGTAAAGAGCTCGTTATTACGGCGGCGCTATTCACGATCGGACTCCCAACTGACAACCAGACTACACGTTGATAGGCGGATATGACCGCGATATTTTCTGTGAACGCGAGAGTTATCGCTTCGTCAATTCCTTTTTTTTGCGTACGATGGAAAATTTCAATTATACCCAACGAAGCACATATCTCATCTCCTACTCCTCATATTTCTTATAAATTCTTACGCTACTATCTAACGCCAAATGACAGTCAAAATTCTATATTATATCTTAAGTAATTAAAGAAGTGCATATATATGGCAACAATATAGCGTAATTAAATCAGCTGTTATAAAAATATGTTATATTAATACGTTGTATTAATAATCATTTTCGAAAAAATTTTATTTTAATTTGGTTGTCTATATTTTAGTTAAATTTTAGCGAAAATTTGAGTTAATTCCATTTAATTAATTTGTTTGAAAAAGTTAGTTTATTGATCATTTTATTATATTGTTCAAACGTCTATATTCGTAATCGAGGAACAAAGATGATTCATGCGCGACTTGTCCACCCAAACCGAGGTCCTTAGCTTCGCTCTCACCCGTGCGGATCGCATAAATCGCGTGTTTTCCTTCTTATTGGCTGATTGAATAATACATGTAACCGAATAGTATTAAACCGGCTGAACGGGACACGCAAGGTCCATGACGCCTGTCATGTCGGGCGGGTCATGCGTCAGCATTTTGACGAGTTGTTTAGGTCGATCAATTTATCGCTTAAGATACACACGGAATGGCTGTTGCGCCTGTATTTGTCGATGCAGAATTAACGACGTGATGTAAGATAAGACCGCGGATTTATGAACGCTGCCTACTATCAATTCATCATTTCTCGTCCATTATATATGTCCGTCTCAACATTGGCCTATTCGATCGACACGTCACGTTCGTAATTATTATTTACATTATTGCTTGTATTTATGAAATGAAATATACCTCAGTCAATATTCATTTAATCTGACAAGAATTCGATACACATGAAAAAATTTTTTACCATTTTTCAAATTCATTTAGTTGTTTGAAAGGTGATAGACACTCGCGACGTGCCTCATCTACCATTATCAGTATTTTTACGCCGAATGAGACATTATAGTTGAGTCAAGTGTATGACTCTAATGGTCGTCGACATCCGTAAACGTGCGCAAGAAATTATGGTACAAGCGAAACGTCAAAGTACTGAATAATATACAATTTCCATTTACGCTTGCGTTTTTTATAAAACGCGTTTCTGCGAAGACATCGGATTCTTGGGCGATACCAAGTATGGTATAGATGCACCCATATGGAGAAGACTTTTGCGTCATATTAACCGTGTGCAATTTTGCGACCAAGTGCACGAAAAATATTATTATTTCGATACGCATGAACGGCGAACAGAGGGAAAAAAATATTAATGACAGAGTATTACGAGGCCGAATGCAAAAATCACCGCTAAATCACCGGCCGGCCGCCTATAATCTTGCCTATTCAGCGTAATTTATTACGCATTGATATTTACAATCCTTTATGGTTAATATCTCTCTCCGCGTCGCGACGATTGCCACGCGCAAGCCGCTGGTAATGCGAAACCTCCTCGTTCAAGAACCGACGATGATCCCCGAGATTGCATATTTAACGCGCGACCAACAAATTGACCTCCCTAGCGCCCCATTATACGACATTTGCGAATCAATCAAAACAAGTGGGCGGCAAATTTACATCTAATTATAGTGCACGTGGAATATATCCAAGAGATACATTATATATTATTTCTTTGATCTCTTGCGAAACGACCGAGCATTGTCCGTTGTACGTTAATAATTAAATTACTTATATTTAACTGCAATTTGAAGGTTAAAATATTGACAGAATCGAGTTAAAAGTAATTGCTCCCAAAAGAGCTATCTCCTGTGATTTTTTGAATTCATAGATTTATTAAAGATTATGTATGTAAAGTGTAAAAAGACTTCGCTAAACAATTTCGTGACTTGTTCTAATTAATTTAAATAAATCAAAAAGTGAAAATAGAATACGAACTGAACTCCAATCTAAGTTCTTCATCAGTATCGAAGACTGACTGATTATATCCTGATGATTCCGATGTTGATTTTTTGTGTGCTTCAATTCCGCATGCCTATTCCTCGTGAATTTACTGCTGCGCTAAAAGATAGAGAAAGAGAAAGAAAGAGAGAGAGAGAGAGAGAGAGAGAGAGAGAGAGAGAGAGAAAGAAAAAGGTAGCCCCTCGACACACACAAACGGGGCTCCAGCCGTTGCATAAATCACAATGAAACGCATGCCTCATTATACTTGCAGGCACTCGTGTAATTGCGACGGGCGTGTCCGTATTTACCCGTGCAGATCTGCCGGGCCGGCTGGTTGCCGAACATTATCGTCGTATGTGTGTTTGCGCGTTTAGTTTCTATGCTTTTTTTCTTTCTTTCTTTCTCGCCGCGTTCACATATCTCGCACTCTTCTCCGTCTCTCTTCTTCTCCATGAGAAGAGTTTCAGCTCCATGAGCTCCATCCACAACCTAGTAGAACCTGGTGCTTTTCGCGACCGGAAACGGGAGACCGGATATGGGTGTGATGCATAGCGTAGTCTTAAAAGCGTATAACGCGGAATTATACGTTTTTATTTGCATAAATGGTTCGCGCCGATCCTAACCAGAACTGGCGTCGCGGTTGCCTCTTCGACTGACGTGAAGATGCACCGTAGTTCCGATCGTACGGATTATTTTTAAAATCGATGATAGCAGCCTTAGATCTCGCATCGGCGTACGTATAATGAATGATGAGAGATGAGGCTGAGATGTGCAATTTTACGTGACGATCACGATCCATTATGACGGATTCTCTTCGGCTTGATCAGTTTAACGTTCTTCTAAGAATTCTCAGAAGAAGACTGTGAAATTATCTTCATCATTACAAAAAGCCACATTTATCTAGGCTTCTGAATTTTTATGCTTTTCAATCAATATTCAAAAAGGTATTTTAAAATAGAATTTACAATGAATTGTGAATAGAAAGGCTTATACTAAGCGTTTGAAACCAAATGAAAATGCTGAGTCATTTGTGGCGACAATAGATTCCGATTCCCAAGAATAAAGAATAATGATCATTTTTAGGAACTGTCACTAGAAAGTGTCATAGAAGAATAAGATGTGAGTCAAAAAATAAGTAGAAAAATGGATATATTAACTTCCATGGTGGTCTTTTCGTGACCGCTTCATTTTTTAATGATACCCTAGTGATCGATGATATTAACCGACGCCATTAAAATATTTGTAAAAAATAAATGTCATCTAGTAAAATTTTGAATGACTCATTTTGAATTGACTAAATAATAGTGTTAAATAAAAAGTGCGTTATTCAACATTTAATTTTATGTTTTTAATGAAGCACAATATTTTAAACTGGAAAATGTAGGGCATCCACCACAAAACGCACGTTCTTTTGTTGCGGAAACTTGTCTTTATATAACAGTAATCGGATTTACATATATAAGTATAGACGTTTCGGCCTCGAATTAGGCCATCTTCAGTATAATCGTCAGAAATTTACATAAAACATGTTAAGAGTCAACTTATTTAAAAGATTTTTCCTGATATATGCATTTACAAATATTACTTGTCTTATAACTAAAAATAAAAACGCCTACTATTTTAGTTTCAATTTTAACCTTTCGTGCATTTAAATATGCTAGGCGAATAATGTTACATAAACCTGTCCATTACAGTTCTTCTATATCAAGAGTTGACAGAGCCACAAATTTTCCAGAATCTGTGATTCGATCAAATTGATGAGATAAGTAATGTTAGTGTCCGTCATACTGTCTTTACTTAACATTTTAAAGCTGAAAAGGACGTGTACTGCTCAATATTTTATATGTTTAATAATGAAACTTCTACAATGACGTACAGACGTTTAAAAACTCATCCCCATTGAAGCCGATCGTGTCGATCAGCATACTATTGGCTTCTTTTTCTCTTTCCTCTTCTTTCTTTATGAAGAAGAAGTTAGTATGTTGATGGTTTTAGTAGGGATGAGTTTTAAGATATACAAACTTGTAAATATTATGTTAACGAGATATGTAAAACTTTTTTTTAAACTTTTTCTCTCCAATTGGGTAAATTATTATACATACGCGATATATTAAAGTATTAAATCCGTGCGCACTTAGAAAATTATTCATCTTCGTAAATTTGCGATATAAATCACGGAACAATATTAATAATTACTACATTACATAGCATGATACTTAAAGCAAAGGAATGTCTATCTAACCGTTTCCAGCATCGATAGATCATGGTAAATTGCCCAGCGAGCGCCACTGGCATAAAAATAGCTGCGGCCAAGAAATACGCGCGTATCACTATAAAGACGTCGACGCAATTAATTATGTCAGACACGTGGAGCCGAAGCGTACCGTGGCCGGCGATCGTTATCGGTTTAATCCTTAGCTACGGTATCGATACTCGAAAGCGTTACTTCTACCTCGGCTTCGGTTTTGATGAATTGCGCGCAGCGCACGCGGTTCATCGCGCTCAACGGGCGCTGCACCGTGGAAAACTTGCCGTGAAACAATGG